TAGCTTCAGATCTTGATTAAATTTTAGCACTTAGTTCATAGGAGTGCTTATATTGATTTCCTGAGATCTTGTTTCCTGTGAGGATTTTTATTGGTAGGTTTGCTAATGTGTATCAGACTGTGCAAACAATCTCTCCATGAGTTGGTTTTGAAACCCAGTATAGTATTCCCATGGGATTTTGGAGATACATTACCAATGATATTATTACGAGATAAATGATTTGCTTCATTGAACACAGACAACAATGCATATTTCCACTGAGATCAGTGACCTTTGAATGTGTATCACCAGTCAAGTAGAAACAGTCAAAATATTTTACCAGATTTTCTCAATTTTTGCATGACATTTTCATACAGGACATCTGTTGTTCAAACTCAGGGAAGACTTTATACTGATGAATAAGATGACCTTGGAATAAAATTAGTAAAGTTATTGCGCACACAGTAACAATTATTAACGACGACGACAACAACAACAACAACGAAGACGACGACAACGCCGGACAAAAAAGATTTTCCCTCAATATACCTTTCCCGTCCATCTTTGATGATACGTGCAAGGTAATAAAACGACGAACGCGTATTCAGACGTATTCTGATGGACTTTTACGCGCTCCCAAAACCTTCAAATGGGCTATATTGTCCCGTTTGAATACTTTATTACCCACCTTGATTAGAGAGTTCGGCACTGGGTCAAATCCTACCATATATGCATATCTGTACGGTTTGGCATTATATAAATCATAGTTTATTGTAGAAAACTCAACCATTTGATAGCCTGATGGGTACAGATCAATTCTTTCAATAAGAGTCCAGTCTGACATATTGACTACAAAACGTTCTACAACAGTTCTCGATTCGCCCTGAAAATTAATAGCACATTTTATAGGGAAATATAAATATGCAGAATATGTTACAAAGAGGTTCAACTAATAACAAAGCCTCTGTTGTCCTTGTTTTGGATTTTCTGTTCTAGAATTGCTATTAAGTCATCTGATGTTTTCAATGAGAAAATTGTTTCTGCAAGCTATGCTATAAAATGGTCACGCAGGTGATACACGTCGAGACAAAGTTGACGGAAACATTTAAAAATGGGGGCACTAATGTGTAACGTTATACTTAACGTTACACTCTTATTACTTTCTCATTTGAAGTGTGTGGGGTAAAATAGTTTGTTTTTGTTTTTCAGCTTTGTTTTGCAAATATTGATTCATATATTCCTGAATCTTAAGTTATAGAGTCGACGTGAACATTTTTATTGTGTTTCTCTTCACATATAACACTTTTTGCAAGAAGTTTTCAAAGACAATGTGTTGATCATGGCTTGTGGTCGTGCAGAGTAACTTTGATTCATATTAAAGATGAAATATGGATGAATACTTTGGATTATAATTTAGTGAGTCAAAACTTCGAATTAGTTTGCCTGTGATCTATTTCATCAGCTCACTCATACCTCTAGTGTTACTGTGTTTGGTTTCTGTAGGATTGATATTACGCTTGCGCGGTTCATTACTCCAACAAGCGGGAGCTCAGGAAACCACTGGGGAATGATATGGACATGTGTCACAGTGTAAGGCCTGCTTATTGAAATTAAGGGGGCCACTCACAGAACTCACACCAGACAGTGGGGTTTTCATTGCTAAAATGGGGTAGACAAGACAAAAGTACTAGAAATGAAATACACATACACCAAAATATCAAGTTAAAGGTCCTGGCTTTAATACTTTTCAAAATAATTACAAGAAACGAAGCACAGAAAATAAATTCACTAAAATAGGGGATTACCTAGGGAAGTGTGCATTGATGATAACTCGCAGTTCCAGGATGTAGAAATGGATGACAGTCAA